GGGCCCTATTTTGGCAGAAATATTGATCGTGAAGGGCATTTTGGGTCTTTTTGACCCATCAAATAGGGGTAAACAGTTCATTTGGGGTGTTCTGAATCGGGAAAAATTGTGAAATTCAAAGAATCATCCATAAGCTTGCCCAATCTTATTGGAATTATTTTTAGGGTGCTAGTGAGGGTATTAGAAGACTTTTGGGGTGAATTGTTGATTTGAAGAATTCAAGATCTTCGCTGTTCTTTTGTATTTCATTTTCTCTTTTATACTTCACATAGTTGTTGGAGGCGGGAGCGAGATCTGGAGCGGGATCCGCCCTATAGTGGAAGCTCCCTCGGGTTGGGATCGGTGTCCGTACATTGAATAAGACAAGGAGAGAGATCCTTAGGTGTATGGGAGCGAGATCCGATGTCAATGGGTTTGATGTTTTGACTAGCAGGAATCTATGCTCCACTATACAGAAAAATGATGTTGTAAGTAGAGTTAGTACGAATTCCCTTGGTTAAGGAATCGAGGTTTAAGTATGTCATATACCGGGGTTCCTCCTGTTCTGATATCGAGATTCTTAAAGTATAGGAATCAAGGTCCTCAACTGATTGGCCCCGAGGAACGCAAGTGCCATTTATCTGGGATCCCTTATCAAGTCCCCCCCACCCTTAACAATGGATTTATTTCTTTTTGTGTGAATAACAGCGTATTAATTATGTAGTTCTATAAGTCGGTCTTTCTTATGACTACTACATATTCAGGCCATAACACCAGTTTGGCATACACCATTCCCTTTGAGTTCTCGGCAACCCAGAATCCTACTACTCAAGAGTCATCTTCTTCGAATGTAGTCTCCTCTGTTTCCATTGTTTCTCAAAGGCTGGCTCTCTAAGGGACAAGGGACAAGATGAACTACTCTCTCTCTTTCTCTCTCTCTCTCTCTCTGACTGATGTAAAAGAAGCTTTTTAAAGCTTGAAATGAAAGCATATATTCTCATCTCACAACTGTAATCAGATTTAAGACTCTAAAACAATAGGACATCATGAATATAAGATTTTAATTGAAATATATATTCTCACAACTAAGAAGGATGACTTACACAATAAGACTTAATAAAACAACGGGTCACTCTAGACTATGCCTAGTTCAAATTAAAAATCTAAAATAATGAAACTTTGTGCTATGCAAAAAAGGGACTAGATTTTAACATCATCGAACTTATGGTTCCTAAATAATGAGAACTTCAGACAATGATAATCTCTAACCTGGTATCATCTGTTAATGAAAGTAGTTACCACAAACATGGAACCCAAGATTTTAATATACCAAAACCTTGGACCATGGTTGATGGGAGCGGGGGATCTATTTCGAAATGGAACTGGATTCCACTGATGGATGGAATGTGGTCCCCTTTTTTTGGGAGCGAGATCCCAAAATCGAAAAAACGGGGTCCCTAAAAGATCCCTTGCAGGAACCATGGGATCGAGGTTTCGGAGAGGGATCATCACCCTACCAACAAGGTTCCCTTAACTATGATATTGCATTAATTTTTATCGGTCTTATTGAAGACTTGGGGTCCATATGTAATTGTGTACGACGGTTGTATGCCACTATGGAGTGTAAAGAGTTGGAACTGATACACTATATAGTTGTTTATGTTTTTCATTAACTTTTCACCAATGTTCGAAAAGTTGTCTGCTCTATCGCTTAGGCATTCTTAATGTGGACACTATTAGGCAGCCATAACTAGGCGCCCGGACGGTTGAAAAGGCACGAAAAGGCAGCTGCTTAGGCGGCATGCACGAGTTTGGTGGAAAAAGTTTTCGGGAGGGAGCAAAAAATGTCATTTTACCCCCTTAAAGGGGGGATAAGGGTTTGGGGGGCTATTCTTGCCCCCAAAAACAATTTTAGTGAACTTCAGAGTGAGAAACAACTTGAAACAAATCTAGATTTGAAGATTTTTTGAGAGACCGAAATTTTTTGGAAATCCTTGAATGGTCACGATATTGAAAGATATTCATCCCCAATCTTTTTGAGGCTTATAGGGATTGTAAAAGAGGAAATTTGGGATCCCAAACATTTCGGTTTGGCTCGAAATTGAGTCCATTCAAGAAGGTTGGTATATTTCAATAGTTTTCACGAGGTTTTTTATTTTTTGCCCTTATTGTCTAATGATATTGTTTTCTATTTGGATTTTTTCTTTGATACTTTGTGATATATATTTGATATGTTGTTGTCTATTTGGATTATTATTATTTTATTAATTAGTTTAATAATTTCTTAATTCTTAATTGCTTATTAAATATTTGCATGTGTAATGTGTTTTCTCGATGTGTGATTCATAAAGCATAATTATTTTATTAGTTACTTTAATATTTGCTTAATGCGTATTAAATAATTGCATGTGTGATATTCTTTTTTGAATGTGTTATATCATTGCAATTTTGATATGTATACTTTACTTAGATTTATTTTTTGGCTTCATAAGAACCCAATTTATTAAAGGGTCAGAGTCACTTCCTATTGTTAATTTTTTAGATGACCATTTCTAATTCTTTCAAGTTTGACCTTGGCTTTTTGTTTAGTTTTCAGGCTTAGGTGTTAAGCTTGACCTTATTTCAATTACAATCTAAAGTTGTAAATGTTTAGGTTTGATCTGTGCTTCCGGCATTTTAACAATATATTATATACAAAACTTACTTATTAAATAATAAAACATATAATTTTATATTTAGTAAAATGGGGGGAGGTTTGGGGGATCCAAATTTTTAAAAAAAAGAAAAGAAAAAAACACTAGCCGCCTTTGGGTTTGGACGCCCGCCTAAGCACCTGCCTTAGGGCCTAAGCAGCCCCCCACCGCCAACCAGGTCGTGGTTGCCACCTAGGCACTGGGCACGCTAGGTCAAACCAGGCTGCCTACTGTTTTTTGAAACCTTTTTTTTTTTTGAGAGAAGGTGAACATTGTATTACTGATGAGTGATGTTTACATGGATGTGAGAGTCCGAACTCACCCGCTAGGGGTGACTTGGTAAAAAAATGCGTTAGTTTATCATGTACAAAAAAGGGGCTTATAGAGACCGCCCGATTACAAAGATTTCAAAAATTTGGAGTTAGAGGTCATTTTTCGATCATTATTTGTTATTTGCAATTCTCGTTGAGGTGGTTTGATAACAATATGGTGATGGGACAAATAAAGGGTATTCTGATCAAGTAGTCTAGTATGTTGATATGTTCATAATAACAAGAAGGTACAATACTGCCTCTCAAAATAGATCTTGATATCATCTCAATTCTGATAGAAATCCTTTCCACAGCTTTGGTTCCTATCAATGTTCAAAAAGGCGAATGCGGCCGCTTAGGCGGCCAGGGGTCTGAACCGCCTAGGTGCCAAGGCGAGCGCCCAGATACCTAGGTGACCCTAAGGGAAGGGGGTGGGTAGGGGCCATATGTTGTTTTGTGTGTGTGTTTTGTCAATGTGTGTGCATGTGTGTAGTGTGTGTATGTGCATGCACAAATTCTTAAAGATCATCTTCCTTTTTTCTTTTTCTTTTTTTTCCTTTTGGATCCGAATTTGTGAGAGAGGTCTCAAGCACTTGGAGGATATGTCGAGAGAGAGAGAGAGAGAGAGAGAGAGAGAGAGAGAGAGAGAGTGAGTGTGTAGAGAGAGGTACGGTACGTACGACGTACCGTAACGTCGTAGGTACGTTACTTTACTTTACTTTACTTTCTTCGTTACTTACGTAGTAGGTA